CTGGAGGCGGCACGCCTGGCTTGGCAATAGAGGCACTGTGGGCCTGGACAAGGAGAAGGGGAAGGGGTACTGCTAGAAAGACTATCTGACCCCTGCCTCTGAGGCAGACTGACATAGGGACCCCACAATTGTCCTCTCAGTACCTAGGCTAAGAACGGAACTCTCAGACTATTCCCTAGGGAGGAACCACTGCCTGCACACAGGGCCTCCTCTTGGCTGAGGCTGGGCCCTCAGCCTAGTGAGCTTCCTGGACAGTCAGGACCAGCAGCCAACCCTCGGGGTGGGGGGGGACCCAGACTAAATCTGACCTGCAGCGACCTCTCTGCCAAACCGCAGACCCCAGACCCGCTTGTGCTCCAGACACATCCTGACTCCACGTTCACCTGTGGCCCTGTTGCCTTGTGACCTGAGTCAGCTGTAGATGTCAACAGCAGGCCCATCATTAGTGGTTTGCGGAGCTGAGCTGAGGGATGTCTGGAGGCTGGACAAAGCGGATGTGGCTAGGGCATGCCCAGGGCAGAACTGGGTACAGGCTAAGGGTCAGTGTTTTGGAGGAGGGGATAGTCGACAGCAACAAACAAGATGGAACCTTCAGGGCTGTCCTGAGGCATGAGTGAAGGTGCTCTGCAGGTGTCAGGAAGACATCACCTGGAGGTCTGGGGACAGAACACGTAGGAGGGAACAGAATGGGGGCAGGGGGAGGAATGCAGAGGAATAAATAGCAGGGGGAGTGGAAGGGTGCAGGGGATCAGGTGTGCAGGGCCAAGGAACGAGGATTTTCACAGGGCTTCAGAGGGATTTACACTGGGCAGGGACATAATCTGATTTACTCTTCAAAATAGGATTGTGTAGAGAAAGGAATGTTTCAGTATGTTATGCTGTACTTAAAAACTATTAATGAATACAATATATTTTTTAAAATAGGATCGAGATCAACTGTATCAGAAAAACAAAAAATTACAATATATTCAAAACAAGATAAGACTTTTTTTCTTACTCATCTTAAGAGGTCCTGAGGTGGGAAGCCAAGGGAGGGCCTCTGCTCCAAGTGCCATTATGTATGTGAGACTCTATGCCCAAGGTCTCTTCATGGTGCAGGAGAGCTGCTGGAGCGCCAGCCATTAAATCCACACTGCAGCCAACAAGAAGGAGTAAGCACCACAGAATGGCATATCCCTCTGTTTATGCTCCCTTCTCTGATGTTGCACAGCCTTCCATTGCCATAAAGGTACCTAACCATGAGAGAGGCTGGAAAACACAGCTTCTATTTTAGGGAGCCAATGCTGAGCTAAAGTCAGGAGTCTGTGATAAAAGAGAAAAGGGAGATCAGATAGTAAAGTGACCACTGTCCCTGTCAAGTGGGGATGACAGCAGAGTCTTCCTGAGGTCTGGCCACTTTCCTCTGTCCCCTCCCATTTGTGGACACCCTGGCAGAGCTGAGCTCCCTGCAACTACTTTACACCATAGAGCCCACCCACTGCCATGTAACGGTCTGCCATGCGTGGGATAGGTACCAGTGGGTGGTGGGTACAAGTTCCTAAGGAGTGCCAGTTGCCCCAGGCTTAGTGCTAGCTGCCTGGTCCAGCGGCCTCCTCCTGCTAGTCAGGGCAGGCATGTGTGGGCCAGCCTGGCAGAGAAAGGAGCTGCAGGCAGTCCTGCTCACTCAGCCCTGGATGCCGGGGCATGCCACATCATCTTCCCAATCTGGTCTCTGCTCTCACAGCAGTCAGCGAGGGGGAGGAGCGGGCACCAGCCCCTGAAGGGTGCTGTTCCGACACTGGGCCTGTCTAGGGGCATACCTTCCCAGACCACAGGTGACATGTCCAGGCTTCCCACAGTAACATGGGCTCAGCCACGTTCATCCTGGCACCTGGGGCAAGGGAATGGCAGGCCCAGGGCCCCTTTCTGGCTGAGACACTGTGTCCCTCCCGATGAGAAGGGAGATGGCTCTTGCATGCTGGTCTCTGGCCCACTCCAAGCATGAAGTCCCCCTCCAGCACTTCCCCCTATCCCTCCCTCCCCCACCACCACCCCAACAGAGCACCGACCTGGGTTGAGTTGGCATCTAGGTAGCCTGGTCTGGGCAGCAAGGCCCTTGCTGTCCTGGATGGTGCTGGCTGCGGAAGGTAGCAAAGTGAGGAGGGGCTAGGAGGGAGGCCCCCTTGCCCTCACATGCTGGATGTTAGTCTCGGCTTCCCATGGCTAGTTACTTCATCTCCACAGCAAGCCTGATTTAGAAACAGTTCAAAAGGGGCTGGTGTGGAAGGGACACAGAAAGGGGTGTGGGTCACCTATGCACAGGCCACAAGTGTCTGTGTGTGCGTGCATGTATAGGTGTGTCTGTGTGCACAATGTAACGGGTGTGGTTGCCAGGCACACTCATTTGCATGTGTGTTCGCTGCATAAGCAGACTGTCCACCGTGTCCCTGCATCTCTGTTGAAGTTCAGCTGATTGGGCCCCGCCCTCAGTCCACTCCTCTTCTGGATCACCCCCCCCAGAGACCCACACCTCTGGGAACTGGACTTGGACACTCAAACTTGTCTCTCCAGGAAACTGAAAACAGAAGATAAGAGGGGCACGGTGTGTCTTGACCCTCCTTTCTATCCTGGGTACAGTCTGGTAAAGTGACAAAGGAGATGACACAGCAGTTAGAGTCCCTCCCTGAAACACATGGTGGGGACATGGTGGGGGTGGGGGGAGGCAGCCAGAGGATGAAACCCTGCCAAAGGCTGACCCATGCCACATGGCTCTACTGTGACCCCAGGTACATCAAGGGTAGGATTCAGGGAAGTGACATGCCCTTCCAAGCCCCCAGTGTCAGTATACAGCAGGGTCACGAACCCAGGTTTAAATGCCCAATTGTTCTGCAACCACCTTCCCTGCCTGACTCCTAGGAGGAGGGTGTGATGAACTGCTGGGAGATTGGTTTCCCCAAATGTGGAACAGTGCGGCAGGCGCCCCTCCTTCGTGGGCCACCACTGCTGGGAGACACGGGCTCTCTGTGGTGCCACAGGGCAGGCCCTGTACACCCACATACAAAGGAAGCCTGCTGGTCTGTGCTGTGGGCTGTGATCAAGATGAACCCCAGGGTGGCCCACACCATGGACCTCAGAACCCAAAAAATGGGCAGAGCAACAAGGTCTGACTGCCTCCACAGTAGAAGAAAGTGGCCAAGTCTCAGTGTAGGTGTGTGTGGGGGGGTCTCAGCAGGGGCCCAACTAGTCTCTGAGCAACATGTTATGCCCAGCCTGCCCCCCCTCCCCACTCCATAGGAACTGTCAGGGCAGGAGGGTAGACCAGCGTTTAGTGGAAGATTCTGTTTTCTGATAAATCACCAGGGTGACTTGCATTTTCTGTGCCTTGACTTGCATTTTCAGTTTCATTAACAATATTCCCCCTTGAAGCAGAAGCAAGGCCCAAGGTAGGGAAGGAAGGAGATACCCGCCTGGACATGGAGTGCAGGTAAGGCATGCATTGGGTTCACTGCCCATGGGTGCCTGCTTGCTGGCCAGGCAGACCCACTAGGAGAGTGTCCAGTATGCTGCAGAGATAGCCACATAGCTCCCCAGGAGTTTTAAGCAATGTTCTCCTGGGCCTCTGGCTGAATGCTCCTGGTTGGAGCCTCAGTTTCTTTACCCCTGTCAGATGAAGGGGTATACCCCCCTCCCAAAATTAGAGGTGGAAGCCACGTGGCTAGACCCACACAGGGCTGTGTACCTGCCTTCCTGTTCCCTTTGAGTTTACTGTTCTCTGCCCCACAAGCCCCACTCAATCTGCTCTTAAAGCCTTGATGCAGCCCCTAGTGCCTAGAACAGTGCCTGGTATACAGCCAGTGCTCCTTGAGTACAGGATGAATGACTTTTGGGCTCCAGGCTGGGCTGAACTCTCCTTGAGCACTGCTATTAACCCTCTTTGGCCTTGTGCTTATAAAGGGGAAAAAGAAACTCACACCGCCTTGATCAAAGGCTCAGTCTTAAGTACAGAGAAGTTAAGCCACCTGCCTGAGCCCACACCTCTACTGGCAGCTAGCTGTTCAAGGACTTAGCCTCCAGCTGCCTGGCCCCATCAGCCCTAAGAGAGACTGTCCAGTTCCCTAGGGCAAATGAAAGGTTAGAGAACCCCTAGTCCTTCCCAAGGCACACTGTGTGTTGGGGGGGAGGGGGAGAAAAGAGGGGGTGGTGGTGGAAACATCAGCAGAAGTCTGGGGGAGGCACTCAGGAAACCCGGTCTGGGAGCCAGCAGTCAGAAAGGAGGACCCAGCGGCAGGTCTTCCTGTGCCCACTAGTAGATAGTGCCAGGCCAGAGCTGGCCGGGCTGGCTTGGCACCGCTGGTAGATATCCCAAGTTAGGGGAGCGGCTGGCATGCACACGAGGTGCAAGGAGTCTTGCCTCTCGCCTGGGCACATGGCGGTTGCTCCCGCGCTGTGCGCAACTAAGCGCACAGACCCGCGGTGACCCGCTCCCTGTCCCTGCTCAGGAGTACGCGGGAGAACTTCCTGCCCCCTTTCCCTCGGCGGGAAAGCCGAGTCACAATCAGGGTGGCCAGATCGACACATTGATGCAGTTACTAGGTCTGGTACCCAGGGTGAGCGCACCGGGAATAAAATCGTCACCCTTGCTGCGGCGCCCGCTAACCTTCCAGGCGCGCCCGGCAGTTCGCGCTGCGGACTTCATTTTATTAATTAAGTGTCCACGAGCCGGGCGCAGAAGGAGACATGTCTTACCCATGACCACTCGGCCGGGGCCAGGGGGTGCCCGGACGCAGCGCGAGGTCCTCTGCCCGCGCCTAGCCGCGGCCCAAGCTCGGAAAGGGCGGGGCTGTTGGAATCCCGCGGGCAGCGCTTTGTGGGGAGTAGGGGAGGGACCGGGGAACTGGGCGG